CCAGTTAGAATTTTAGTTGCAGATATCTGTAAATCACAGTAAGATCACCTGCAACTGAAGGAATCCCATACACATGAATGGAGAAGCTGAAATCATTTGTCACAGGAACAGTGACACTGAGGTTTATCTGACTGTATTTGAAGTTTTCATTGGCCAGGGACAAGTCAGACACACTCACAGTATACAAAGAGCCTGGTAGCTTTTGCAAAATAATGTTGTTTCTGTGTGCAAAGTAAAAGAAAGATTAAGATAAGATTTTTAATAATTATTATTTTTAGATATTTTATACAATAAAATAGTAACAACAATTTTCCAAAATAAAACCGCAATGTTTGGAGAAGCAGCATTAAAAAATAACTTGTTCTGTTTACCCGCACTGGCAGCAAAATTCTTACTCCCCCTGATGCTAATAGTCAGTTGTGGGGGTTTTGCTAGATAATACCCTGCAGCCATTGGCTGCAGTTTTCAACAACAACAACACCTCCCGTGTGCAATCCCAGCGTATTCTTCTTTGGTGAATCGCTCAAGGTCCTCCAGATTTGATGGTCTTCAGTTCAGTTCTTCTGGACATAGTTCTTCAGCAGGAATGATGTAAGTTTTGTTCCTTCATGTTGGAAGACAGCAGTGACTCAGACTGACAGACTGAAACCTGCTCGAGGTTTTCTTTCAGAATCTTCACGTATTCTTCTGTCGTCGTGATTCCTTCCACCTCGATGAATCCACAGATCCAGAAACACTGTAGGAGCCTTTTTTTCCTTTTGTTTACTGGATGCAAATTGAACAAGATAAGTACGGCTGGATTTATTGGACTTTATCAATAGTTACTAGGTAAGGTTTCATTCACAACAGTGGCATCGCATCAACCCATCGAACACCTCAGTGGCTTCGAGCGTAGCCTCTACAAGCACCGACTGCCTTCTCGACTACAATGTGTCGACTGAGTCACTCACTGGAGTCTTTGCAGTTGTTCTGCTAAAAATGCATTTCGAAGTGATATTACACTGGGTGTGTACCTGTACCATTTATATGCTGAATCTAATGATGGATCCTTAGAGACAACATTTGTACAAGAATGGTCCTGTTGGGTCTGTGCTCCAGCTGGTTCAGAAACGTATTCCCGTTAACAAAGCAAGACGAACAGCTCAACCGCTTTTCACATGCTAGCAAGGGGAACCGAACAGCAGCAGTCCTCTGCTGTCCAAAGAACCAGCTTCCCCTGCAGCCTTTTATTTCTGTGACACACAGTTTACACAAACACTCACTGCAAAATCCCCCTATGGTGCATCATAAACCCTAAGGCACTGAGTGTGTATATGTATGCAAGTGCGTGTGTGTGTGTGTTTGTGTTTGGGGTGCGTTTGT